TAAGTTGTAGCCAACTTGCCAAACAACGACCCATTCCAGAGTCCAACTCCAACTTGATGCAAGCACGTAGTTAAACCTACGTTAGCACAATCAGATCCCACTGGATCCTGCATGAATGGGTCCTTTCCGGCCCCACTGCTCCCCCCCCTTTCTCCTTTCTCCCATGCACACCCACTGATCACATTGTGTTTTCCTTGGCAACAGCTGCTCTGGCGCTCAGAGCAGGGTTGGGTTTGCTCCAGCTGCCTTTATAGACATTTGCCAGATTCTGCAGTTTTAGGACTCATTGTGGGTTTCATGGCTGCTGCTGTATCAGAGCATAGGATTAGGGCCACCCAGGAGGGCTACCACCTGACTTACCAGGTCTCCCTTGCCACACAACTCAGACCTTCCATGTGTCCCTATTTTCCAGGGACAGTTCCAGATTTCTGATTTGACCCCAGAATTCCCCACTTTTCTTTAGGATGTCCCTATTTTCATGGGAGAAATATTGGGGGGCATGGAGTTATGTGACACCCCCCCAAGCCAAGGAGATAAGTAACTATATAACCTTTAGAAGACACCTGAAGGCAGCCCTGCATAGGGAAGTTTTTAAATGTTTAATGTTTTATTATATTTTTCTATATGTCGGAAGCCATCCAGAGTGGCTGGGGCAATCTAATCAGATGGGTGGGGTATAAATTAATTTGTTGTTGTTGTTGTTGTTCGTCCCTATTTTCATCAGAGAAGTATAACAACTATCCCCTCTGCCTCCAATCAAGCAACATCATCAGCCAGTGAACAAATACTATATGTAACAAGTTTTAGATATTGATATGCAAACTAAAGAAGGGATTAATGGAAATGAGCAACAACCTGACCACCATCTAAACATACACGGTTATAAAGACTGATTGGCTAGTTCTTTGCAAGCTTGTGATTCTGGAGCGGACATGTCAATGGAAAATCCCGTTTATATTTACTACAGGCAAAAAGCAATTCCAAGCCCAAACAAGGCCTTATTGGGTTGCCTGTTAATGTTACAGTCCAGAATTTTGGCAGATGTGCTTAACTTTCCTTCCACTGGCTTTAGAAAAAGTTCTGCTGAATAACATCACCTGAAGATTTGGCCCTGCGCCTTCCAGGCTTAAGGCTGTGGTCAGAAACACACAGGGAGAAAACTTCCTAGTGGAACTTCCTTCTGAATAAACAGAAACAGGATTGCACTGTAAATCCATATAATCTTTTCTCATCGAGGCATCAGAAACTTTTATCATAGCTCGATACTGTACGTTTTGACGATGAAATTTTCACTATGTAGCTTTATAATGCCTTGCGGTCAATCATATTCCCAGGGTGGTTTACAGAAAAAGAAAAAGAAGAAAAGGGTTAAGTATTTATTAGTCTTCTACCACTGTCTACTGAGTGTATTTGTCCAGGGTTTGTGATATGAACCCATTTAGGCAACACAGCCAGATGGGCAGGGAATAATAATAATAATAATAATAATAATAATAATAATAATGGCTGGTGTTATCATTTGGCCAACTAGGCGGTCACTTAGGGTGCAGACCTCAGAGGGGCGGAGTACTGACTCTTGAGAAGCACCACTTTATACAGATTAGTTTTTGTTACATTTTATAAATTTCTGATAATCTTTTATTTTATTTTATATTTTGAAGAGTTCTCCCAGCTTACATACACTCAGCAATGTTGCAAAAGAGACTGGTTGGCTTGGCAACTATATCAACTGAAGATGCCCAAGCACCAGCACATAGAATCACAGAAACATGAGACTTGTAGAGTTGGAAGGCATCACAAAGGTCATCTATAGTCCAGTCCCCTGCAATGCGGGAATCTTCCAGCCAAGGTGGGACTTGAATCCAGGACCCTGAGATTAAGAGTCTCATTCTCTGCCAAATGAGCTACAAAGGCAGGAATGAACCGGTGACAAAGCTTGCAAAGGGAAAAGGCACGCAAAGTGAGATTTTGATATGTCTGAAATTGAAACAATTCAGAGACTTAAACTTTCATATCACAATTCACAAGATTATTCGAAATGATTTGTGCGCTAAAACATTTTTCTTCCGTATTTGAGAAAGATTGTTGTATTACTTACTATTGCGATTTAAAACAAACTTAGCAGCTTTCATTTTTTCTACAAGGCATCTGTTTTTGAAAACTGAAGTTAGCAAATCTTTTTTGGGGGGGAGTTCAAACGGTTAGGCTTGCCTAGGGCGTAAAATAGCTCTGCATGTAGGTCAACCCTTAAAAAATCAGCATCCCCCAATTTCCAGGGCTGGTTTATGAAAAAGGCAATGAACATAGCTGCGAGCAAGCAAAACGCCACAGTAATAAGTAACGGCTATCCCACAGCACACCACATTTTCTGGCTTCTGACCTGACTGGCTTCTGAAGGCCAGAGAGGAATAAATAATGGAGAAGGAAATTGTACTCAATGTCCTTGGAATTTGAAAATTTATGTGGAGAAAGTTCATTTCTTCTCAAATGTTGGAATCTTCTGTGGGCTTTGCTAAACTGGAGCCTGTTTTCCCAACGTTTCACGGAGTCCTGCTCAGAGATGGGCGTTCAGCTGGCCTGTTTTTTCTCCTTGCCGTTTTGGAGGAGGACGCTTAACCATTCCAGCCTGCAGGGTACAATGCTGTTGCCTGCTGAGCCACCATCTCCCTTAGGTTTCCCTGCCTCTCACAGCGGGTGTCTCCTTGGCGCTTTGGCTGGCACGCTGGTAGCTGCCTCTGTGGCACCGTAAGTGGGGCAGCCGACTGTTGTTTCCCCCTAGTCAGCACTCAAGCCACACCATTAGACGGCTCTCCTTTCTGCCATTTCTTCCCACTGGGAACATTTAGCAAACCTTTTATAGGAGCATCGGTTTCCATACTTCAATTTAACAAGGACCAGCAATGGGATGATGTCTGTCCTGCCCTGGCTTCCAAACCCAGCGCTCATTCTCAAAGTCCTTGATGCCATTGCTGAGAAATCCTGAACTGGAGCCCTAAACCGTTGTGCATGACAATCGCCATATGGCCTATAGCAGTTCTGCGATATATATTCATTGCTAGTGCAAACACGGGTGGCGCTGTGGGTTAAACCACAGAGCCTAGGACTTGCCGATCAGAAGGTCGGTGGTTCGAATCTCTGCAACGGGGTGAGCTCCAGTTGCTCGGTCCCTGCTCCTGCCAACCTAGCAGTTCGAAAGCACAAAAAGTGCAAGTAGATAAATAGGTACCACTCCGGCAGGAAGGTAAATGGCGTTTCCGTGCGCTGCTCTGGTTCGCCAGAAGCAGCTTAGTCCTGCTGGCCACATGACCCGGAAGCTGTATGCCGGCTCCCTTGGCCAATAAAGCGAGATGAGCGCCGCAACCCCAGAGTCGGTCACGACTGGACCTAATGGTCAGGAGTCCCTTTACCTTTACCTAGTGCAAACAAACAAGGTTAGTGACTGTGGCACAAAACCAGGGAGTTTTGAGGCTGCCCATACTCAGAGGCATACCTACTGTAGGCTCCAGTGTACCCTTGGCAAGGAGATATATCAGAGTCTCTGAAGCCGGGAGAGTATGTGGACCAGAAACTCAAAGAGTTTGCTTTTCGTCACCTTTTGTGGCCCACCAGTGTTCTACTCCTCCTCCCTCCTCCTCCTCCTCCATTGGTCTACCTGTTTGCCTGCTTTCCTGCCTCCCTTGGCTCACTGCTTTCCCTTTTGCCTCCTTCCTCCCTGGCTTCTCTTTTCCTCCTCCTGCAACTCTCACCCAAGTGCTCCGTCTTTCTTCCCTCTGAGCCCCACTGAACACTCTGCTCAGAATTGGGGTGCATGATGACCTTAACAGATTGGAAAACCGGGCCCAACCTAACAAAATGAATTTCAATAGGGACAGGTGTAAGGTTCGGCACTTAGGCAGGAAAAACCAGCTGCATAGATACAAAATGGGGGGGGGCACATATTAAGAAGGGTATTGACAAGCTGGAATGTGTGCAGAGGAGGGCAACCAAGATGACCAAGGGTCTGGAAACCAAGCCTTATGAGGAACGGTTGAAGGAGCTGGGTATGTTGGGTATGGAGACTGAGAGGAGATATGATAGCGATCTTCAAATATCTTAAGGGCTGTCACATGGAAGATGGAACAAGCTTGTTTTTTCCTGTTCTGGAGGGTAGGACTTGAATCAGTGGATTCAAGTCACAACAAAGGAGGTTCTGACTAAACATCGGGAAGAACTTCCTAAACCCAAGAGCTGTTCCACAGTGGAACGGACTCCCTCTGGAGGTTGTGGACTCTCCTTCCTTGGAGGCCTTTAAGCAAAGGTTGGATGGCCATGTCTCTTGGATGCTTTATCTCAGATTCCTGTTGGACTAGATGACCCTTGGGGTTCCTTCCAAGTCTATAATTCTATGTTAAATACATTTAACAAAAATAAAAATAATATACAAGTGCTTGGGAAGTTGTCATCTGGGCATGTTCTCTGTGGCTAAGGGATGGAAAGGTATTTGTGAATTTTGTCAGTAAGTACTGTCCAACTGAAACCATATCCAGACTTTCGCTCTAAGTTGGCCTGATTCTGACAAGTTCCCACCCATGTTGGCTGCACTTGTGAAACACCTGACCTTGCATTTGAACACCTGTAGGCAGGAAAGGATTCCAGGCAGGCCAATGTTTAGCCTGCAGGAGGGCGGATGGAGGGCTCCATTTATTCCCCAAGCCTAGGAGTGGATTGCTACTGGGGAAACTGGCAAATAACTGGAAGCAGTGGCTTGGCTTAGACAAGGCGAGGTGGGCTCAGCGTCCAACACTCTCGCCGTTTATGTACGGGCTTGTTCATGTGCAGAGATAAAACCGTGTAGTTTTTGCTCGTGGAGAGAGAACTGGGCAACTCCCACCATAACTTATGATGCACATGTTAAAAAAAAGATTTTCTTCTTCTTGGCCGTGCAAAAAGAGCAGGGGAAGTAAGAGGCGTATTGATTTGCAGAGAGCAGCCTGATTTGCATATAGATCTAAATCCCAGGCGCTGGCCGGCGGGCCATTCGCTGAACTGTCCAGATGTAGCGCCTTTGACTTGCTGACATCACCGCCTCATTAGCATGCAGGAGAGGCGAGCACTGCAACAGCGAAGCCTCCCAGCCCGGCGAGCCAGCGAATGCGCCGCGATGGGGCTGCGCGGAGCAAACTGAAGCTCTCTCCGGCTCCGAGAGGGAGGCGGGACTGCGGATTGGGTGCAGGCTCCGCTGTCTCCCAGGGTCACTCAGTAAACCCGGAGTTGGGGCTCCGCTGGAGTCACTTGGCCGGCTGCAAGGGAGGAGATGGACTGACAGGGTGAAAGGAAGGGAAGGAAGGAAGGTGGGAGGAAGAGAAGGGGAGAGAAAGGGAGAGAATCCCTTGGCCAAGCTGGAATTCCGAGGAAGGCAACGTTAAGCTCTCCCAAGCCTATGCAAACGCACAGCAGATTTTTTTCTTGCAAGCCACCCTATGTTTTTATGTGCGTGCGTGTCTCCTGGAAGGATTTGACCAGAGAGAGAGAAGTCTGCTTGCTGCTGCTCACTTCAAGAAATCCTCCCACCACTAGCCTATCAACAGTGCTATTGGGTTTTTCTCCCCTCACTACGCTTTGCAAAAGCAGAAAACAAGATACTTCACCATGTTGCAGTGTTCCCTGGGCTTTTGCAAGCAAACGTGCACCAAAGGAAAGTAAACTAAAAGCAAGACCCCGCCCCAGCGGTGGGGGGGGGGGGTTGGAGGGGCTTGGTGGATTTAAAATTCAAAATCAAAAAAACCAAACTTGCCGAAATCTGGACTCGGAGGCGGCCGGAGCAGGTAAGCGATGATGCTTTGTGGTTTACGTCTCTGTAGGGTATATATAATAAGGTAGTGAACCGTACATAGCTGTGGATGCGGCCAGCCGAAATGTAATTCTGAAACACACTTTAGCGGGATGGCTTTGCGCGTCTGTCTGCATCTCTCTTGCCTTGGGAGTCAGGGCTGCTGTTCACTGAAATAGTTAATTGCTAGCCTGGGCATTTAAAATCGCCAGGAAGTCAGAAGAAAAATACTTAAGCAACTTGATCTTCTTTTAAATAATTGCAAAGGGAGGGTGGGAGTCTCCACCACCCCACCCCCTACAAACATCTGTCAGAGTTAATTTTACTTCATGGTCATTTGTGTCCCAGAGTGTTTAAGACCTTTAGGGATTTTGAAGCGAACTGTTGATGACTCAGACTTCTAGCAGATGATATTTTTAGCGTGACTGGTGTCTCCCCCCCCTTTTTTTTTCTTTTCCTCCCCTTTTTGCAATGCTTAGAAGATACACAAAAGGCCCTTGGCACACAGAGTGTCATCTCACACCTTTGTTTTCTTTAGTAATTGCTGGACCGAGATGGTTAGAGCCCGGCTTGGTTTTTCTTTCTGTCTTTTATTTTTTCTGTGTTTCCTTAAAGCTTACTTTGGAAAGGCAGGGCACACAGGCCACATCAGCACAACCTGTGGCCATGGAGTTTTTAATTCGTTTGCCCTTTTCTACTTCCAGCGACTGGGATGTGCCAAAAAGGCAAGAAATAATGCAAGACTCATGATTCCCACCAGTTAAGAGCCATCACTCCTTGTAACTCTGTCTTACTTCCCCCCTTAACTTGCCCTGCTTCCCTTTAATCGGTGATTATTTCATCTTGCATGTCAAGTGCCTTTAAAAGAGACGTTATCAGAGCCTTGTGCTATGATTTTGATGTGTGATCTGGATGCATCGTAAAGTCAAGGCTGGTTAGTTTTCAGTACTAGGCACAATACCTTCTTCTGGGGTTTTTGGCTTTCTCTTCTTGCAATGAGTTTTACTGCAAAGCAATACAACTCTGTTTAGTTTGCCAGCTATATTTACTTTTAAAATAAAATTTGGTTCCTTCTTGTCGGAACCCTAAGTGGCTTAGAGTACACACACACACACACACACACACACACACACACAATTTTTCTCATTCTGATTACTTTCACAGATGGGTAAGTCCAGCTTGTCTCGAGGGATACTGAACTTCGAAATAATTGCCATATTAAAAAGACTCTGAAGCCTTCTAATATCCCAAAGCATGTTAGAAACCCTTCCATTTTCTCCCTTGGTAACAGGAGAGCTCTGACATGCGGTCTTCCGCTTCTTTGCAAATGAAGACTGACCATGTCCTAATGGGCTTTGAATCAAGGCTACCATGACTCCAGAATGTATGTAGGGATTCCTTGTAAAATAATCCCCCCCCCCCAAGAATTGCCGGAGCACAATGAAATGTATAAAACAGTATAATTAGCTTTGAGGAAGAGGAGTAATGGATGTAATCATTGCTGTGGGCTGGGAGAGAGGCTTGGTGTCAGCTCAGACCTCTTGCTTCCAGATAAGACTTTTGCCAGGTCTAATTCATAGCCTCATCACCCTTTTGCTCTCAGGCATCAGAATAAGTGTGACGGGTGCACCCTCCTGATGTTTGGGGCTAGGACTCTTGTCATGGCTGATCATTGGCCATACTACCTGGGGCTACAATAGGAGTTCCTGTTCAGAACATCTGGAGATCAGATTGGGATAGGTGATGGAGAATCTGCATTGCAATGAAGACTCTAGGGTCGCTGCTGTTATACTAGTGCAAGGGGGATATTACTTGTGCCATGTCCAGCGCACACCTGTGCCCCTAGCCTCTGTTACGCAGCACAGAAAACGAGGTTTAGAACCATAGAAGTTGGAAGGTACCCCAAGGATCATCTATTTAGTCCAACCCCCTGCAATGCAGGAATGTGCAGCTCTGTCTCATACGGGGATCGAACCCACAACCTTGGCATTATGAGCACCATGCTGTAACCCACTGAGCTGTTAGGAAGCTGCCTTCAACTAAGTCAGCACAATGGCCCAGCTAATTCAGTATCGTCTACGCAGATTGGCAGCAGCTCTTCGGGGTTTCAGACAGGGGACATTCTGAGCCCTATCAGGAGATATCAGGATTGAACCTAGGATCTTCTGCACCTCCCGTTCAGCTTATGTGCCCTTCCGCAGGTTTGCTCTGCAGCACGGGTTATCTTGCATGTGTTTTAATTATACAGTTCCCACTGGACTGCGCCAGCTTGAAAATGTAGTTTCCTGTGTTCAGCTAGACTGTATACAGCTATCTGCAAAAAAAAAAAAGAAAGGAAAAAAAAGAGTAGAGAGGCTACTCTGTTCAGAAATAAAGCCTGAATGTGAAAGATAGAATGCCTTCTTTCTGAGGCAGACTCCTCTGCTTATTTAAGTGGTTATAAAGGAATCCATTGAGATGGGATGACTGCATGCTATCTCGCTGAGCTGGAAAAGCAATTGAACAGCATAATTAAAAACCACACAAGATAACCCACGGAGCGGTGCAAGCCTTTAAAAGCACACTCATGCTATACAAACTGCTACGGAATTAAAAATCACAGGGTGTATTTAGAGATCTGTCATTCTCTAGCCTTCCTTTCTTCCCCCCACCAAAAAAAGTGCACTTGAAATGATGGCATCTGCTGAATGCACACAGTGGTGTGTTTTGAGTTGCCATTAGGAATCTGACAGTTCCTGCTAAGTTTGCCGGCTGTTTAGGCTAGTGTGTTTGCTCTCTGCCATATGGGAACCCTTAATGGCACTTCCAAAAGTCGGGCATTTGATGATCACGAGGCCTGAAACATACACACACATACAGAGAGAGAGAGAGATCTGTAATGCCCATGAAAACAGATTTTAGGCCAGGAGATGGATACTTTTTAAAGAGATTTGGGGATGTAAAATAAAATTTATTGTTTTCAAGCTGTCCAGGGCTGCTGCACTTGTTACAGAGCTGCACAGCCGCACATATCCCCAAGAACTGGAGTATTTGGGAAAGGGGAAATTTTGCAATGTTTATCACAGATCCTTTTCCTACCTGTGGAAAGCTGAGAACGGGTGAGCAGATTGGGGTGGCATAGGCTGAACCAAGAATGCGTGTTGTTTAGCACTTAAAGGACTTGGGGCACAGGCTCGTGGCACAAATTTGCATACGCTAATCACTATGGTATTGATGTACCTGGGCAAATTATGGTGACGGGTGGCAGTGTTGCGCTTTGCAGGAGCCCATCTGCACTAGGCATTTAAAGCAGCATTGTGCCACTTTAAACAGCCAAAGGAATCGTGGGAGCTGGTGTTTCTTAAAGGTGTGCAGAAAGTTGCTTGGAGACCCCAGCTCCCCTCCCACAGCTATAATTCACAGAGTTCTCGGGGGGGGGGGGTCGAACTATTAAACCACTTTGCGAATAGCAGCTCTGTGAGTGAGATAGGGGCATAGCTGTCAACTTTTCCCTTTTCTTGCGAGGAATCCTATTCAGAATAAGGGAATTTCCCTTTAAAAAAGGGAAACGTTGACAGCTATGGATAGGGGGTCTCCCCACAACTCTTATTGGCCTTATCAAGCTACAGTTCTCAAGATTCTTTGGGGGAAGCTAAGGGGATTTTAAAGAGGCATGTCAGTGCTTTAAATATCCGGGGCAGATGGGGCCTGGAACTGGGTGCAAAAGACTTAGCTCCCCACCCTCGGGCCTTCTGTAACCAACACCCTTGAGGTTGAATACCGCTGTCGTTGTCGCCACCTGTAAGAGTTGCCCTGCACATTACCATTAACCAAAATTTAAAAAAATTAAAATAGGTGTGAGACAGAGTTGGACACCTCTGCTTTGCTCGCTTCTGCCATTGCAGCCTGAAGCCAGGAAATTGGATTGGCTTATACACCTGTAGCAAGGAGAAGATAAGTAGGATGTTCTCTCCTGTCGCTAGTTACTCGGCTGTGAATCCGGTAATTTTGTATTTCCAAATTTTCTTTCAAATGGCAACAACGTAATCCCCACCACCACCTCTTTTCCAATTTCCACTTGGAGGAGGTTCTGCTTTCTGATCCCTTTATCTTTTGGCTGAAGGCCAAGCACAGAGGGACAGAACCAGAAATGCTCGGGCTTTATGAATATTATTTCCAGAAAGGCTTTTGGGGCCCGGCCATCACTTTGGCCATAAAAGTAACTGGGAATTAAGTTCAGATAAATGCAAGGTTATGAGGAATGCGGCCGAAGGTGATTAAGGGGCCTGATCCTTTTGGTCCCTCGTGTCCCTCTCATTCCTTGAAGTATTTGTTTACTTAAACATCTAGGTCTTGTAGAGTCTGGCCACATAGCAGTCATTGCATGGCTGAAGGCGAATAAAAACACAACTAACAGAGAAAGCACTTCCCTGCTTAAGCGTAGCCCAAAGAGAGAGAAAATTCAAGAGCTAGTGTGTCGTAGCAGATACTGTTGTTGTTGTTTCTGGATGAAACCAGATTCGAATCTTCACTCCTCCATGAAGCGCACTTGATTACATTGGGCCACTCACAATCTCTCAGCCTAGCCTGCCTCCGAACCTCTCTAGCCTCCGGCCCTCGGGATTCTCCCTACACCCTTTACCAGCCCTGCTTCATGCCTTTCTTGAGTGTTTGGCCTGGCTGAATTATGCCCTTGAACTCTTGTATATTGGCTGCCTGCATGGAGGATCGAGAAGGGTGTGTGGAAACCAGCCCACTGTAGAAAGACAAACTTGACAATTGTTGCTCCACCCACTTTTGCCTCAGGCCCCACCCACCATGGGCTTGTGCCCCCATCCCTGAAGGTTGCCCAGAAGGGATGAATAAGTTCCCCCTGCCCTGGTTTCTATTGCCTGGCGAAGACATCCAACCCACTTGCTGCCAGACTAGCAACAGGGACAGTCCATAGCTCAGTCATAGAGCACATGGTTGTGTGTGCAGAAGGTCCCCTGTTCAACCTCAGGCATCCCCAGGGTG